TTTTTTTTTATCTTGGTTGCACAATGAGAAGCAACTATCTTCCATATCTTATCACATCCCTTATCTCACCCCACCTATATGGCATGCGACTTGAACTCAAGACTTTTTATTTCTAACGAAAAGAGATGACCACCGAATTACTTAGGTCGTTGGCGGAAAGATGGTGTTAAATACCATTATATATGTGTAAATTTATGAAATTAATGAGATGTTAATCATCATTATATACATAAGAACATGGGGATTTACATGGTAGGATTTAATTATCATTGTTATTGCATGGAGGAAGGTGATTAAAAAAACAAAAGTTGTTGCAAGGGAGAAGTGGGAGGGGAGGAAGATAAAGAGTGGAGGGTAAAACATCCAACAGAATAAATTTTGTTCAAAACACTCCCCCTTACATGATTTATCTTTTATTTCATGCCTTGATAAACTCCATTATTAAAAATCTTGTTATGAAAAACCAAATGAGGAAAAACTGGAAAAAAGAATGCATTGCATGTATAGTACTCCCCCTTAATTCAACAAATATTATGAAGTGAATTTATTGAATTCTTACCTGAATAAAAATGAAGATTATTTCATTTCTCTTTAAGAGTTCGTATATAGAGAAAAATTTTAATAAACTATCCACTAACTCTATCTTTGTTAATATAATTATCCATTAATTATGCAATGTTTATACCATTATCCCTGTAAAGAAAGACCGCATTCTTATTGTACATGCTTAGATCTAAGATCTATTCGACAACCATTCTTAAAGAGCACAAGTATTTATGAATTGTTTATTAATGTAGCCACCATAGCAACATTGATATATGTGCACAAATATGATATTTGTAATTATCTTTCATATGGATATAATAATATATGAAATTCACACATCAAATTAATTTAGATTTTGAAAATTTTAGATATAATAATAACATGATATTTATCTTTTCAAGTTAAAAATTAGAAACTGTGTTTAATTCTATTATAAAAACTTTAAATCAATATATGACCAAATCTCACCACTAAATTTTAAAAGCATATATATCATAGCATTTATATTGTCAAAACGATAAATTAATCCATGAATTATAATGAAATATGGTATTTGAGGACAAAAAATCATCTTTCAAGGAATCTATTTATTTGTTATGTCAAGGGTGACTAAAAATCATATTTTCAAGTATAAAAATTGTACTCCACCATTTGGGTAAAAATCTACTTTTAGCCCCTTATTTTAATAAATTTATACATTTTAACCCCTCACCTTATATTATGACACTTTTAGCCTTTTATCTTAATAAATTGATAGCTTTTAGCCTCTCATCTTATATTGTAACACTTTTAACCCCTCACATATACAAGTTAAAGAAAATAACCCTTACTTAAAGTCAGATTATAACAATCTGTTAGTTCTGTTAGTTGACTGTTAGCTATATTAGCTGATTATTAACATCTGTTAACATTATGTTATAGAAAACATAAAATTTAAATTCAATTTTATTTGTTAGTTCCGTTAGCAGAATGCTAATGAAATTCTAATAATCAGATAACGAGTTAACAGTCAGTTAACAAAACTAATATAATGTTATAATCTGACCTTAAATAAGGGTTATTTTCTTCAACTCATATAGGTGAGAGGCTAAAAGTGTCATGGTATAAGGTAATGAATTAAAACCTACAAATTTATTTAGGTAAAGGGCTAAAAGTGTTGCAGTATAAGATGAGAGGTTAAAACTTACAAATTTATAAAGGTGAAGGACTAAAAGTAAGTTTTAGCCCACCATTTGTCAATGGAGGGATGATGGTTGTTGGAATGTCGTCCATCCATCCGATAAAAGTCCTCCAAATTTTAATGGTAAAACTACATTTTGGTCCCTCAACTTTCAATTTCTATGCATTTGTATGTGTGGGTTAAAGTGA